GGGTTTAGGGTTTAGGTTTAGGGCCAGGGCTCAGGGTTTTTCGGTCCGGCTTGAGTTACGGGTTTAGGGCCTTAAGGGCTTCGAGTTGAGAGATTCTAGTCCGCTGGTTGGCTGAAGGTTGGCTGCTACGGCCCTCATAGCCATACCCAGAGGCCCCATACTAGTTCCTTTTTGGGCTACCTAGTGGGATCCTAAATAGAAGCTTCAAAAAGGAACTACTATGGGGCCTATGGGTAGCCATGTTGCAGTGGATTGTGTGCGCGACGGTGTCCTCTGGCCTTCGGACCCTAAACTGTGGGTTTAGGGTTTAGGGTTTAGGGCTCTGAACGTCTAGACCCCTTTGGAGATGCCGTTTTATGTCGCCCGCTTGGGGAAAGGAACGGCCACACGCTTCTCACGTCGCACCTGCTTCACCGCCGAGCCATCGTCGACAAGTGCGACACGTCAGGTCTGGCTCCCCGGTTTTAGGTTTGAGGAGCTACCTAAACCACAAATTAGGGCTTAGGGTTTAGGTTTAGGGCCAGGGTTTGGGTTTAGGGTTTAGGGTTAGCCTACTTGTTTAAGGATTCATACCAGGAAATCATAATCAGGAACCCTAAAAAGGTCCAAAAAAATCGGTTTCAAATTTTAGGGTCCAGGTATAGTCAGCTCGGGCCCTTGGTCTTCTCACGAAAACTGCGGGGTACCGACAGCGTTGGAAGGTCATTGTGGTTGGACTGGGCGGGTTTAGGGTTTAGGGTTTGGGAGAAGGTTTTACACTTGCCGGTGCGTGCTATTCGCCATGTCATGTGGCACTTTTATGTTATTTTGTCTTTTTCACGTTTTTTGCTTGCAGACCCATCTTGACAGTACTTCTGCAAAATCACACCTGATCTAAAACTTCCCCGGGGGACCGCTGGGCCTTGACTTTTCCAAACCGCACCTTCTTTTGGACATTCATGTCGGTCCCTGGACTGGGGTGACTACGTCGCTGGTCTAGGGCGGTGAGGGTTTACAGTTTCTTCGCCCCTATACTGTGATTCTTACAGGCACCTGAACCGTAGAAGATCCCGAAACAAGAGCGTGAATAGTTTGTGAATGCGTTTCCTTCGGTCGCCACTGGGAAAACGGAATGTTCCCAATCCCAACACACACATTTAGATGCACTTGCTTTGGACACCTGTCCAGTACGTACATCAGCGTGGTGGCACCTGCCACATGAAGCCGTTTTCAGATTGAGTTTGTGCAACTCTTTAACCCCGAGCCCGAGCCCCAAGCATCACGGTTTAGGGTTTAAGGCACTGTTCGTTTCGCTTCCCGATGGCAGGAAACAGCCCGCTGCATTATGCCCTTGCCTATGGCTGGCAGGATCACCTTGCCGTTGCCGGTATGGGCTGCTCCAAATTTATATTATACAAGCCCCAGGTAAGCACTTTACGACCAATTCCTGTCCTCCCTGCCACAGGCATATTCTGAGGTCAGACGCATGCACAGTTACCGGTCATTAACCCCAGCCAAGCCATCGTTTACATCCAGGTTACACCGAAGCTCCCCGAATGCGTTGCTGGATAACTAGTTGCAGACCCTACACCCTAAACCCTAAAGGCCCACGACACATAAGCAAAGCACAAGTAAGCCCTGAAGGAAAGGAGCTCAACAAAACCCTAAACCCTAAAGGCCCACAACACGTTAATCAAAAAAGGCAAGCCCTGCCGGAAAAGAGCTCAACAGAAAAAAAAAAACCCTAAACCCCTAAACCCCTAAACCCTAAAACCCTAAAGCCCTAAAAAAAAAAAACCTAAAACCTTTGGACTCCATAGCCCCGAAATTCCTCTCACAGATTCGAAGTTGATACTTGGAGCCCCAGGGTCTGGCAGAAGACAAAGGGGGTTAGAATATAGGGGCCTTAATAATTAGAATGGGTTTTGGGGGTTCCTTTAAAGGGTTCCTTAAGGTGTTCTATATGGGCTGTTAGGGTTTAGGGGCCTGAATAATTAGAATGGGGTTTTGGGGGTTCCTTTAAAGGGTTCCTGAAAGTGTTCTACAAAGGGCTACTATAAGGGTTAGGGGTTTAGGGGCCTTAATAATTAGGATGGGGTTTGGGGGGGTTCCTTTAAAGGGTTCCTGAAAGTGTTCTGTAAGGGCTACTATAAGGGTTAGGGGTTTAGGGGCCTTAATAATTAGAATAGGGTTTTGGGGGTTCCTTTAAAGGGTTCCTTAAAGTGTTCTATATGGGCTGTTAGGGTTTAGGGGCCTGAATAATTAGAATGGGGTTTTGGGGGTTCCTTTAAAGGGTTCCTGAAAGTGTTCTACAAAGGGCTACTATAAGGGTTAGGGGTTTAGGGGCCTTAATAATTAGGATGGGGTTTGGG